TCCTAAGTTGTTTGTTCCAAGACAAAACAAACCACAGAAACTTGGTAAGCTGCCAGACTATTAATATTTGTACTCCTGGTATCTGGAACACTCACTGTTCTTAACAGCATTTTATGGTCCTCAATGCTGTCCAGGATTAAAAATAGTATTTAATTCTTAACTCTGATTAACAAAATTATTAAATTGTAATTGAGAGAAAAAACACTTAGTAGAAGACCAAAGGCAGCAGAAGACCAAAGACAGAGCTCAGGTTTGATGTACAAAGTTAAGAAGCACCAAGAAAAGCAACTTATGAGGGAGACTGAGGAGAAGATGAAGAAGAGGTACCTGAACTTTTCCTGAGGAAATGCTGCATGATGACACCCCGTGATTCATGTGAATCATGTTCTGGGCTTGAAATTTTACACAACATTGGTGATAGCAGGTTTAGGTTTTCTTCTGCAGAAAAAAAGAAATACAGAGATGTATCCAGTTTCATCGCCTCCTGCCTAATCAATTCCTTGCCTCTTACTTGGATGGCACATCCCAAACAACAGCTGGCAGTGCCAGAAACCATTTTAAAGTAAGTGCAGGGAAAACCCAAACACTTTAGTACATTGATTCACAGATATTTTCATTTCATAATGAACTCACAATATCTGTGGAAATCACACAGTGTCTGATCTGCCATAACGCAGAAAAACTCATCTTCATCTCAACCAAAAAACCTGCTTAATCATTTATAACGTTGGGACAACCAGACTTGGAATTCTGTAACCTGTTTTGAAAGTGGTAAACTAAAAAAGAGGAAATCAAATCATTCTATTATATAGTAGAGCTGCCGTACCACCACTGCAACCAAAGTGGCAACCTCCTTAAAGCGTAGGCAAGTAAGTGGGGAAAGCAATACCTTGTCATGCTGCAGTTAGATTTGCCAGAGGCTATTTGCCAGAACCCACAATGACATTAATGAGAAGCCTACTACAAAAACACTGACAGCACTGTCGATACTTTCAAGGACAAACAGCTTTTAGACTCACCTGAGAGCACTGGCTGTTAACACTGGCTCTCTGTATTGCCATAACAAGCACAAAGGCAGGCACAGGAGATCTCTGGCGTGGAACAGTTGGTACAGAGAGCCCAGCACTAGCCACAACTAGTCCAGGTCCTGCAGACCAAACACCCTCTGACAGCTGAACAACCTTCCAGGCCAATTCTCCTGTCAGACTCCTGTCCATCCTGCTTCCCAAGACTAGTCCATGATGCACATCTACGCACTGGAGGTGCAGAGGACCATGAGACTGGCTTGGAACACACACTCCCCAGGCAAACAAAAACCCAGAGGCTGCAACACACCTGCAGCTGTTCATGCACACACAGGGATCCTTCTCAAACAGGCCCAAACTAAACTGTGGCTGAACACAGCTTTCTGCTTACACTGTTCAACCACAGGTGGTCAACACCTTAAAGGTTATCAGAAGACAACCACCATGTCCTGTTAGGCAGTGAGACACTAAACGTCTTTCGTAGTACAGTCCAAGATACAAGGAACAGGCACAGAGCTGCTAATAGCCTACATGATCACTGTTCCATTCTAAAACACCCCAAAATCTAGAAAAACTACCAAAAAAAAAAAAACCCACCAAAAAAAACCCACTACATAAAACCAACCTAAACACCTTCTTTGGGAACTGATATTCCAAGCCAGTATCTCATTTTCAGTCTCTGTCTCAATAAATCCTGCCCAGCCACAGGACAATGATAATCTACAAAGTATCCCCTAATACCTTGTCCCAATTTCAACTTTTTTAATCAACCATAGCAGTATTGGAACAAAAGTAACTAGACTATTAGATGATGTTTGTAAAATTTCACCAAAGAAAGCTTTCAGGGGACTTCCAGGGGAGGTGGCGAGTTTCCTTCAACCATTTTCTATTTGATTGCCAGTTTAAAGTCAGAATTCTCTGGTCCTGACAAATTATCCAGCTCCACCAATCCTCACACCTCCAGAACTGATGAAGCAACGTTTCAGTGCAGACAGCCAGTAACACCCATTAATTTCCCCTGTTAGGTAGAAGTGGTGTTCTAAAGAAAAATAATCTTTCAGGCTGCTTTCACTGAAAACTAAACACTCCCTTTTCCTGGTCTCCATGGTGAGAATGCCTGAACTGTGAGCTGTTTAGAATAAGGCTGCCACCTAGGAGCAGAGCAGAGGAAATGCAGAGAAATCTCAAGACAAAATTTGAACTGTGAGCCCACTTGACGGTCAGACATGCTATTACACAAAGCTATAAACACTGGAAGCACAGATCTTTGGGGGGAAAAAAATGGGTAAGAAGTGGCAGAAGACAGAAGTTATTAAAAGGTGGTTTATAAGCAGACAGCTCCCAATACAATCCTAAACTATTTGGTTCACAATAAACAGTTTATCCAGTCAGGCAAGTCAACATGTACAGAGGTGCACTAAGTACTGCACTTCATCTTTGTTTCATTAAAAAACTGCAGCCTAATTCACTTTTTCTGACAGAGTATTTTTCCATGTGAGGTTGCAGGCTACAAAAAAAATGCAGTGAAATAAATGAAGTCAGCCTGAACCACAATGACAGCCAAAGGCAGAGCCTACAATCTTACACTGAAACCAGACACAAGAAAACCTTCGTGTAAGCAACTTCCTGAAGCCTTACCATATTTATTCTTGCTTCTCAGAAACTATGCAGTTTCCAAGCAAGTCAGAGCTGCAGTACACAGAATTTTACTCTTTTGTCATTCAACTGTCACTGGCTTTATTTTACTTTCATAGACCGAGAATGCAATTTGCAATTATAATCTACAGTGATTTGCCAATGTTTCATCTGTGGATCATCTCTAACACACAAAAGAAAGAGTTCTTGAGATCTATCATGCTGATGCCTATTTTGTACAAAGCAGACACTTTCCAATTCAGTTACTGAATATGTTCCAAGAAATCTGTCTTGGCACACCACAGTTACCAGGGCTTTTGGAAGAGGCGGAAATGTCCTGTCCATACAGGAAAGAATGGCTTGTTTCTGGTTGGTGGGAAGAGAAAGTCAGATTTGCTTTGCCAGATCCCCTGGCAAAGACCCACTCCCTCCCTAGAGTGTTTTCAAGGCCACCTGCTTCCATCAGATTTCTCAAAGAAACTGGAAGCCATCAGGGGAAGTAAAGTAGCATGAGGATATGTGGGAAAGAGATGACAGAAGAGACCTGGGGAATACAAAGAGAACACAGAAATAGAACTCAACCACTGGCTCAGGAGAACCACCACCAAAGAAGGAGAACAAATGCACATCAGAGGTATAAACATTTTTCAAAAGTACTGATTAGAAAAGGCACCAATCTAAATGTAGAAATTAACTTACAGTTTTGTCACATCCAACAGCATTAACTTTGGTCCCGTGACAGTGACCAATTTCTGCAGGAGCAGAAAGAGACAGAAACCTGTAGGAAAGCAGGTCATAGCACCAGAGAGACTGCCTTGGCAGCTCCCCCTGTCCCTTCCTAACACAGCACATCTCATTCCAGCAACAGAAGCAACACCAGCCTGACCATACCCTCAATTCAGAACTTGCCTTTTGTCACTGGGACTTGCAACTTACCATGCAAATGCATTCTCTATCCTTAAGACTGACTCATCTGTCCTCACTACTGGTATCTGTGACAGGCTACAGCTCTGGGAAGCACAAGTTCAATGATGCAGAGAAGTAGGTCTTGTATTTGCAATTTCTCATTTACTGGAATAAAGACAAATGTGTTTTAGTGGCTTAAGCACATTTCCACACCATCTCTCTCATCCAGTGTTAACAAGGATGCAAATAATTCCTTCAGATTTATTAGGATAAATTAATTTCTTAGGATATAAGAAGTGAAAAACACTTTCCATGCTTCCTGCTTTCACTTACACAGTTTGCATTTGATTGGTGTCTTGTGGCTTAACTTGAAGCTATCACAGCTCCTTCTGTAAATCAGTAACTAATAAACAGCCAGTATCTGATAGTCCAAGCTTTATTAATAAACATCTTGGTTTCCACCCAGAGATCAGTTCTGTAGCTGAACCTCATTAGGCAATTCTCATTACTCAATGTGGTGCTGAAAAACACCAGTAATACTGAAGAAAAAGACATTTAGTTGCATTTCCCTTCCTAGAATAAAGCAAATGAATGGTGACTAAATCCCAGTGTGTCAGATTTTATGAATGTAATTATCTCCTACACCTCCTCCCTCAGGATTTTACACAGCTTGAGGCTTTGGGGTTTTTGCTTGGTAAAATAAAATCCCCACAGAGTTACTAAAGGAAGAATTTTGGCTGAAATTGCACTACATCACTTTAAGAAAGACTACTTTGTTAAATGTCTTCCCTAGAACTATTTATATCAAAACAGCTCAATTCTGCACACTCAGGTAGACTTTGGTATTTACAGTCAGCAATCCAAACACAATTCCAATAATAATTATGCTTTTAAAAAACAGTCAGAAAAAGCGATGGGGAGCAATAGGAACTACCACGTCATGTTTTGGAAATACCAGTCACAGGATGCCAACTGCAGATCTACATTTCTGACGTCTCCTTTGAAATACCAGTCACAGGATGCCAACTGCAGATCTACATTTCTGACATCTCCTCTCCCTCTCCAGTAAATAATGACCCAAGAAAGAGTAGAGGATAAGAACTTACCAGCTGGACAAGGCAGATACTCAGCAAATAATTGCTACAAACAAGAGCTTGGCTCTCAAACTTCAGGAGTCTGACCACCAAAGTACACGATTTTTAAAAAACAACTCTATGGAGCAAGAAATTATCTTCTAGAGATAATTCATAAAAAATATGAAGTTGTCTAACAAAATAATCCTCCCAAATGAAACCATTTTAATTTTTGTCCTACCAGAAGTATATCACACCTATTACAAAATGTCATACCTAGGATGAATACCAGATTTTTAAGAGGATTAAAACCAACATACCCTGAGTATCACAAATGTACTTAATTCTCAGTTCAATAAAATATTGGAATATCAATTTATTAAAAAGTTATGTGAACTGTACATACGTAAACTGCAATATAGCTGAAAAATCTGAAATATATAATTTTAAAGGAAAATCATTTATTTCTGAAAATATTTAAAATATTGCATTTCTGGCAGCAAATTCAAAAGAAGTGCTCTGGCATGGGTGCAGTCTCTCTGTGTATTTGTCTTCAAGGCATGAAACATATCTGCCTTCTGATTTTTCACAGCACAATCTTGTGACCACTTTCTTTCTGACTTGTAGAGACAGAATTCAATTTCCAAGAACAGGAGCAGAATTTTTAACAGGAAATGCTATGGTCCTTGTTGGTGCAGACAACACACTTTCCGAGAGTCCACGGCACCTTGGCAATCTGCTAGCCATCCTGCATAAAACTGCATCAGATTGTGCTCACAAGTTACAGAATAAGTCTTTGATTGATAATTTTTCTGTTTATTTCCGCCAAGGCCACTGAAAATACGAAGGCCTTTTCATCTGATAGGTTAGCATACATGTCAACTTCTTTTTCTTGTTTCTCTGTAGAGGAAAAAAAAGTCACTATTAGAAGCTTTTTCCATTATTTGACGTTAATGCAAGTTACACAGAAATTAATAAATTACGTGAAGGAGTGGAATTGAAGTTAGACAATCAACTCCTATGCACAGAGGGAGTGAGAAAGAGGAGGAAGTAATAGAGGCACACAAAGATGCAGGAAGAGCCACAGAATGAGTCAGCCAAAAGCATGACTGAATTTCTCCTCTTTAACAATGAAGGGAGAATGAATCATTAACATAAAGATAAGTACTCAAGTGTTCCTTCAGGTATTTTTAGTTTTAGTGGTTTGGGGTTTTTTTCTTTACATGACCACCTCCCATCCAAGAAAACAAAAGTTACTTCACAATATGCTCATTAAACACAAGATTTGCCCCCTTACACCACAACTACATGAAAGAAACCTGAGAGTTTAATGACAGTGACAAAGGCCAAAGAGCAGATACCTGGATGACGTCAGGCTCCAAATTTATCATCACGCACATTTCTGGACTTTCTACACTGCAGACTTTCCATCTTATCCCAGCTGCAGAACAATGCTAACACACGTCATTGAGCAAGTAAAAGCCCATGAGCTCCCTGTGCTGATGCTGGCTTGCTTCAAATGCCACAGACACACAACAGAAAGCCATCAAAAAGTTTCTGTACTGCAGTGCTCAAATAACCCAAGTTACACTACAAAAACTCATAAAATAATACAATTTGAGAAATACCACTTGCATAAATACCACCTCTTCCAGATGATGACTAGTTCTATCCCAGTTCAGCTAGCCACAGGTAGCTGACACAAATTGTTAAAAAAATAAAGCCAACAAAGAAACAGTTTTGTCAGCAGAAGACCAGGCTTGTAAACAGAAGGAAGAGAGAAATACATTTAGAGCTTTCAGCTGTGGAACTCCATCTCTAATCCAGGCTCCACGTGGCCTGGACTCATTTCCAGTCACAGCACAAAGCTCACCTGAGAGACCCCTCTGTCTCACTAACACACAGTCACACATATCCACACTGGCAACTGCTCCACCCAGACACCTGAACTAGCATGGGAAAGCCAAAGAAAAGGCAGCACTGGAAAATAACAGAAAGCATGATCAGGAACAAAGATCCCAGTAGCTCCCATCTCCACCTACCCACAGTTACCCTTCAATGGGCTCACACTCCTAACAATGGTTTTATCTGGTTTCACATTTGTGCTGCAGCTACAGAGAGAACTCCAGCAGACTGCCTTCCGTGCGAAATCAAGTGCTTGTGCTCAACAGCTGAGTGGGAGAAGCTCCAAAATCCTTTACCACTGTGTTCTGGTTTAATACTGACACAGAAACAGCAGAAACCAGCTTTTTGCTGACTTCCTGGCTATGCAAGGCAATATCCTCTAGTGCATTGAGTTTGAAATGAGTTTGAAAGTGAGTTTCGCTGCCAGTCCTACCCTGCAGTTTAACACAAATCAGCTTCTATACGTACACCCTGGGCTGCTCCACTTCCTCCCTCTCACCATTTAAAAATTAACAATGCTGGGAGTAGTTCTGAGTACAGACACTACACACACTGGTTATTCCACATTAACCTTTTCTATTTTCATATCTAAGCCCCACCCCTTGTTTCATACTTCCTGATCCAAACGAATCCAGCCACAACTTGAACATATCAGCAAAATTAAAAATACTCCCTCCCCCTGCACCACACCCGGGCTGCTTTTAACAGACTGTGGACTTCTTAGCTTCCCTTCCTCCCAGATCAGCCTTATTCTGAGACTTCATCTTGCAGAAATCTTGTTATCAAAGAGTATGAGGGATTAACACAGATGTGCAGGCTTCATGCACTCTCAGGACAATTGCAGTTCTCATCAGTAACAAGTGAAGAGCTCACACTTGCAAGACATTTTATCATACACTACTCCTAGGATACCACAGCTTCCACACACACTCTGAAAACTTTCCACTTCAGTCTTATTTGAGAGTAGTTTTGACTCATTTCTCTATTATGAGCCAAAGAAAAACAGTATTGTGTTTCTACAAGACAGTAAGACATTAATAACTAGGGAGTTTGCTATACAACTAAGAGGCTAGTTAGGCAAAAATAGTTTTTCTGGATCACGTCTCTTGTACCCCAGATCTCCTGCAATCCCCTTATACTGCAGTCCTTAAAACTGATTATGTATAAATCACATATGGACCTCCCCCTTCACAAATTTTTGTATGGATTCATTTTTCAAGACAGCAAGTTACTTCAAATATCTGCACTGGGAAAGTAAATATGTGAGCAATGCAGCTGTAATTTACAGAAAAAAAGAAAACTTGCATTAACAAAATGTATTCAACTTTTTATCAGGATACTGAAATGTATATATCTACCTTTATGAAGATTTGGCCTGCTAAGTAATGAGTCTGCTTTAGCAAGTCTACTACTCTTACTGAGACTTATTTGCTGGTAGCCTCCTTCAGAGCAACCAATACCACTTCCTCCAGTATAAAAGGATTTTTGTTTGCTTTACTACAATTAGGCTTTTACCCAGATAACAAGGCAACCTGGGAACCAGTCTAGCTGTGTATCACAGTCCCATACAGTAAAACAAAGAACACACCTCCACAACAAAATCAGAGTCAAATTATTATGGAGTGTTTGTATCTCCAAAATACATTGCAGTACATCTGACAAAGAAATTAAGTGACAATTTTGACAAGCTAAGGCTGCAGGGAGGAGTTCCTATTTTCCAGGGTCATCACATGGCTCTGAAGCATGTGATAAGGTAATTTTCTGGGTCTCAGTACTGCCATATCCCCTCAATCTGCATCTGCTTCCTCCCCCTCCATTCCTCCTTGCTAAATCTGCAGGGAAAATAGCTTGCTTTAAAAAGCTTTTTTGCTTATTCTATTCTTCTTAATTGCCACAGCTCTTTGCTCTAATGTGAGCCAGTCACAAAGGACACAAAAGAACCAGTCAAAGGCACAGACATAACTGGGAACAAGCACACTGAGTATGGAATTGCATGTATGACAAGCAAGGAAGCAAAGCTACAGATGTCACTGGGGTCTTTAGGAAGGAAATTTTCACAGCTGGATCATCTTCAAATGCACAGATAATCTGTTCTTCCATGTTAATACAACTGAGGTGTTTTCTGTCTGCCTGTTTCCCCATCTAGAAATGCATTAGGAACCAAGTATGTAAACCATGCAAGCAGTGGCTTCTTTTTAAGTCTTTGGGGCAAAAGCACAACCTCTAGTGGCAACTAAAAAGGACCCAAAATATCCTTGAAACATACAACAGGCAAGGAAATAAGATACTGACATCTTGCACTGCAGAGCTGACTTTCAACACATACAGACTGCTGCAAGGACTAGCAACCACTCACACAAAAACTACCTTAACTGTAGTAGAATAACAGTTGTTTAATATAGACAAACACTATCAAGCAGCACATGTGGTAAAGGAATAATATTTCTGAAATTCCCACTAATTACTCCACACACAGTAGTTTCAATTTTGTAAGCAACTTGAAAAGGGAGAGGTATATGTTAACTTGTTTTAGTAATTACTTACAAAAGGATAAGCTCCCTGCTGAATTTGTTTTTATAGCCATGACAGCCTTATATATAAACCTTTTTTTTAATCTGCCTGATAATCATTACACATACTACAATCTGACATAACCAGAAGTAAAAAAATATTCTAAGCCTACTTACTCCTGAACAGTAAGATGAGCTGAACTGGGGCAAAGACAATGACAAATGGGTATGAGCCAAATCCCTGCACAGGAGGCTGAGGAACAAACAGCCACCACAAGATCAAGGAAAAGGCAGGGTAAAAACAGCGTAAGAAGATGAAGGCAATCTTATCAAGTAAGATTCAACTTTAAGGCAACACCAAGAAAAGGCACACCACACACACTCTCATGCCAAGATCCCACTACACCCAGATCTCTACTCTTCTACCTCCAAGCACTGCAGTATTGTCACACTTTAGAGTTTGCAGCAAGAGGTTTGGACAGGAAAACATGTTCTCTTAATATCCCTCCTGCTGTCAAATTCTTGCTTTTTGGAAATTATAATACATGTTTTAAGAAAATGGATCTTTTCCTTTGGTTGCTTATATTGCTTTCCTCTTTGTCAGGGGACAGAAAAGAAGATTCACTTTTATAGGGCAACCCAACCAGCTCACTGGAATTTTAAAACCAAGGCTGTTTGTGAACAAGACTGGCAGTTAAATGCCTAGAAAGGACCCTAAAGCTACCAAAGTCCAGCTTGGGCCACTAACAAATAGGGACCTGCTCTTATGACTTATTGACATCAATAAATCTCATGAAACAGTGATGAGATTAGATGCTACAAAGTGCATTTCTATTACAGTAAAAAACTGCCATCTGGAAAATGTACAGAAATTAAATTCCACCTCCTCTTCCCACATTGAAAGCACTAAAAAACCCCCAACAAATCAAATTTATACTTGGTTTTTACATTAAAGAAACATTAAGAAATAGATTTACATTAAACAGCAGAGATATCAAACTTGGTTTTAAGTCAGAAATTGAAGGACTTCCCAACATGGATTATCACCTTTTTATATATAAGGTGGAAAGGAAGAATAATTGCATTTCTGAATTATGCCACATGATATACTTCAAGATTTCAGGAGTTTCGGGAACAATATCTGCTGAATATTTGTATGAAGTTTTCTCATTCCCCTTTTTCTGCCTTCCAACCTTCTGAAGCCCATGCTAAGTTTTGGATTCATAACTCAGGTCTAAAATCACTATCTCCAAAAACACAGCTAGAAAATGCAGCGTCAATAGGCTCGTAACACAAGAGGAACCCTAAGTGACAGTTACATTCTTGAGGGCTTCTAGAATTACTCTAGCTATGTAACAGCCTCTTTAATCATTCTGTATAATGATTAAAACCAGCAGGTCACCAATGACCCTTAACAGGCAAGGAGGCATTTTCCTCCAGAAACACAGGACCAAAATTCAAGTTATAGTAGTGATTCAAGATGCCCTTTTTACTTAGGCCCTCTAAAAGGTTTCAAGAAACTTTTAAAATAATCCAGTCATCCTAACATCCTAATCCCCCCTCTGACAACAGATACCATTACATGGTTTCTCCTTGTGATACAAAGCAGCAGTACCTCATGAAAAAAAAAAACAACAAAAAACCAAACCAAAACAACAAACAAACAAACAAAAAAAAAATAAAAATAAAAAAAAAAAACCAAAACCCTACTTAACACTTCAGTCTAATGGCTTTCAACCTACACGTTGAAACTTGATACAGTGGCTAAAAATACAGATTTAGATCTTTGTAGTCAGCTTCATCACACACTGAAACATAAAACCAGAGGTCTCTACACATGCAAATCAGTCCCTTCCTCACATTAAGGTATCAGGTACTGGCTGAACTAGTCTACTTACTGAATGGTATAAAGGTTTGCTGATTAAAAAAGATACAAATAGAAAATTCAACAAACAGATTTCTGCAGCTCTCATACCTCTTTCTTCCTCATGCTTTTTCGCTGAGGCACTCTTAGGTCTTCCTCTTCCCCGTCTGCTATGGTCTGAATGGCTGTTGGACCTGGATCTTTTTCGGTTTTCCAAGTCTTTGTTTACTGCAGAATTTATCTTCTCTCGCTTAACTCTCTCTGTCCGCCTCCTTTTGGCCTCACTCTTGTTTTCTGTGCAAATGAGCAGAAATGGCATGATCCAGGGTTGTTTTCACCTTTGTTTTTAATTTTCTCTTAATGCTTACCCCACCCAACCAACCTTTTCCTTTAAAGTGCTCAGATGCCCATACCTTTACAGAACAATTGCATCTGCACGATATCCATGCAGAAATTCGGGTGCCAGATCCAGAAGGGTGCTTCACTTCTTGATTCCAAACACCAACCCTTTAATTACTTCAAAACCATTTTGCTGCCTGAGATGTTTGCTGGTACACAAGAAGCTGTTTCCCAAATAAGATGGGAACTCCAACTGCACACATCACAGCCTTTAAGACACCCCATTGTATTTGTTCCACTAGCAAAAGTTTATCATACAGCAAACACCACAGCACTGGGGCTTCCAATGACACTGACAATGAAATCATTGCTGCTGCTCAGACAAATCGAATGCTGAGTCAACAGTGCTGGCAGAGAATGCCTCAGAACACAGTGAATGCGTCCCACCACATCCAACCTGTGACAAGGCCCCCTCATGCTCACTGCTGAACAGGTATTGTTCTCCTCAACACCCAACTCAGTAAAATAAAAGAGCATTTACATGAGTTTTATCTGGAAGTTATGCATGAATTAATGAGCTTGGGTACCAAATATCATACAGTCACCACAGCACACTCATGGATTAGCTGCACATTTGTAAGGCTGCAGCTGTACTGCTGAAAATACTGGAACAACATTTTGTAAAAGAAGTTGTGGTTACCTTAGGAGCACAATATCAACATACACAGTGTCCTACTGTATCTCTCTGGGGAACTGATTTCCTTTGGCTGCAGTTGTCCCATTGATCTTGCACTGACATGGGGTACAAGCTGGACAGCAGGGTCCAGTCACTGAAGCCCATAGAGAACCTGTACTTCACAGTGTCACACCCGGGTGAGGTAGCAGGGGAACCTCTCCAGACCCTGCCTAATCCCTGCTCACACAGGGCCACCAAGAGCCAGCTGCCCAGGACCATGTCCAGAAGGCTTCTGAGCACCTCCAAAGATGGAAACTCCAAAACCTCTTGGACAACCTTTGCCAGTGCTGGGTCACACCCACAGTAAAAAGCACTGTCCAGAGCTGCTTTCCAGCAGCATGGCCCCCAGCACGTCTGCTTTTTGCCTCCCCTGGTGCATTTCCTCTTGTGCAAAACTGAATTATACAACCAGATCATGGCCTTCAGCTTCCTTTGGTAACTACTTCATCAAAAAAGCAGGAGGAGGAAAGAAAATTGACCAACACTTCCAATCTACCAGAGACATTTCCTAACCTACTCCACCTTGAAAGTTCACTTGTCAGCATAATGTCACCTAATTCCTACAAGTGGTAATCTACAGCTATCCTTCAAAACATTGATACAAAACATCAAATAGCTGACTTCCATTTTACAGGTCTGGTAGATCGTTTTTAAAAGGAGGTATTCTAGATCAGGTATTTGTTGGGTTTGTGTCAGGTTTTTTGGGTTTTTTTTAAATATACATATATTCTCTTTTTCTGACTAATTCCTATTAGTGGAGGCAGCAATATAAATGAACATAGTGAGAATGCTATTCATGCCAGAAAGCACATTCAACTGACTTCTTACTGTGTCCATCAACAAAAGACACACAGGTCAGGCACAAAAAAAGCACTATTTAATTTAATCATGGAGAGAGAAGCAAGGTCCACCCAGTTTTAGATTAAACATTATGATCCATTTTTTATTTTCAGAAAACCCAGCCTCAGTCAGCATGTGCTCTGAAATCAGATCCTTTTGGGACCTCAACACTTTTATCTTCAAAACAGGATCAACACAAAGCATTTTGTAAGGGGTTATTTTGCATAGTGATCAATGTGTGCAGCTAGAACATACACAGAATAAATGCCAACATCATGAGTACAAAGGAAGACTGAAAACACCAGCTTCCCTCTTCTCCTCAAAAATCAAGAAAAAATAACATATTCAAAGTCTACCATGGACACATTGAAGGGAAAGTGAACTGACAACAGTCAATTTACACAGAGAAGTAAAACCCACTATCTTTTGCCTCCAGGAAATAAGGGGAAAGAACTGTTGCTCCCTTCTCCCCCACTGTATGTATTACCTGTGATGGGTGGTGATCTCTCAGCACGTTTAGCGTGCAAGAGTTTTCGACTGATAAATATGTAGCCACAGGGACATGATTTACATGCAACAGGAACCTGGGAAAACAAAAGACAAATTTTTCAGATAATTTCAAATTATGACAAAACTTCTGTCCCATGAAGAAAAAACACAGTAACTCACATTTTGTCCTCAGAGATAACTCTTCAAACCCAGTCTGTACTGCAAACCACAGCCTGTCTTGTGTACTGCATTTAAACATAATAAAGCCAGATTCTGCTGTAAATCACTCACCAAGCCTTTTCTTTATGCAGTTGTTAAAAATCAAGCTTGAAATGTACAGCTGTTGTGATTGCTTTGCACTACTTTTCCCCAGACTGACAGGAAGGGGGTGGGGGAAAGTAGAGAGCATTAAAGGAAGGCTGAATTAAAATAGAATTAGTTTCTCTTCAGAGATCTCAAATATCAGTAGTCAAATCAGTCAGACATTTCCAGTTTTGCTTCCTCTATATGCTTGTAAAAAAAAATAATTATGAGTTAAAACCGTCAGTACACTATGAATGCATTCACTTTCAGCAGCATTTGAAAGCAGCTCCTTTAGAGAGGAGCAGCTTTACAGGCACAATAGAGCCTGAAGCAAAACAGATGCATTTGCAGCACGCTCTGCTCCAGCGCTGCAGACAGGGCCGGGTGGGTACAGAAGGACCTCGTTAATTCAAAATGCAAATAACCCAGCCCAGGCAGGCAAGAACTGACTGCAGGCCCAGGAGTTTGAGAGAATACAGCGCCTCTGAGCAGCTAAGCAGAGAGCAGCAGTATGCTCCCCCAGAAAATAACAATGTAAAACAAGAAATACCACATTTAATATGAAAAATAACAAAAATCCACTCAAGAGCAATTAAAAAAAGCAACACTGATAAATTCCAAACTCATTACCTTAGTGCCAAGATCTTTTGAGATCTTTTAGAGTAGTAAGCAATACACCATGTTGCTTTGATTAGGTTTAAGACTGAAAACACAAATCAAAGCAAGTTTAGGCAGAGATCTGGAAGAGATTAAATAATACGCATTAAAGTGGAGTCATGCTGAAGCATGACAGTGGGGGGAAAAAGGCAGGAGGTAATTTCTCAAATGTAATTCTTTAAGACAGGTCACTACAAGTGTGCCAATATCCACTGAAACAAACAGGAGCACAGAACCACAACTGCCCTCTTAATTCAACCAGACATGGGGAAGAACCAAGTTCCACAGTTCTACTGACTCAAAAAACCCTGCCAAATTAGTATGTGAATTTGTAAAGGGGAACTTAACTGCTACTCAGAATAAAAAATTATTTTGCTTTCTGTAGAACATCTGAACTCCTGCACTTCAGCCTACAAAAAGCTTGCAGAGAGACTTTTTGATACAGGTTTTGCAGAACTAGAGATTTTAACTCCCTTTATGGAGACACTGACATAATAAAAATGAGTCCAACAGAGGTTTATTGAACTTTAAAGGTCAGAATTTAGCAGACTTGTGTGCACAGTTCATACGTCGGTGTAACAATACTGAAGCCCCACCATCTCACAGATAACCTGTGTGTGTCCTTAATGTGATACAGAATTCCAGCTAAATCCATTTCTGAATCCACTGGATCTCTCTAATAATTACCTTTCCAGGCTTGGCCTAAAAAAAAAAAAAAACTTTGGCAAAGCCACCCAAGGGGATTGGAACAGAGTCAGTATTTTTCAAGGAACTCAAGTGTGTTTAACAGAACAATACTGTTCTCGTGTTACAGGTTTAGCACGTAGGGGTGTGCAACTCTGCGGGTGGGGGGCCTGGGAGAAGGGGTTTATCACTGAAACCTATCAGTTCTCCTTTGAAGATTCACACTGATCCTGCAACATAATTAAGGCAAAAGAGTCCTAAACACTATTTCACACTGTTTAGCATTTTCCTAATAAAAAGGGAATTTTTCTCATACAAGACATTTTACCTGATGCTAAATTAAGAAGTGATTATTATTTCGTCAGATTGACTGCAAGTTCTTCAGGCTCCCTAGTTTAACGAACTGTGCTTTGATTGTGAAAATACTGAAATATGATATATTATCTAAATTACAACAGAAAAAAAGTTTTTAAGTCTAAGAAGTGTTACTCAATATTTTGCTCCAATTGTGGCTGTCTAAATATTTCCATGCATGCCACTTCTACTGAAAAAATCAGAAACAAATGCTAAGCCCTTGCTCATGAAGAATTTAAGAAACACCAGGACAGGACACAGTCAGATAAGAATTATCTGAGCGTTTCCTCAAAATCTGCAAAGGGTTGACTTGTACTGTAGGCCTTAGCTTCTTGCTCCCTCTCGAATATTTGGCAGTGGAAAACAAGGTGTTTTCCACTATGAGCAATGTGTCCCGGGGCAGGACATATAAGCACATAAAATCCATGGAAGCCATAGAGGAGGTGCTAACAGAAAATCTGCATTGACCAAAACTAAAACACATGATATGCATATAAGTGCAGAACAAAGTGACACTTTTCATGTCAGCTTAAAAATCCTACAGTGCTTTCCTTACTTATTGTTGGTAGTTTAACATTCACTACATTTATAAAAAAAAAAAAAAAACCAAAAAAAAAAAAAAAAAAAAAAACACCACCACTCTCATATATGATTTCTCCCTCGTTTTCGTTTCTCCTTTCACCAACCGAATACCCAGGACGTGGCACACGATTTCTTTCTCAGCAGCAGTGTTCCAGTGACGTGCCTAACGTGCCTTGCAGCGGCTGATCTGTCGGTTAACACTGAAAGGACGCCCACACACAGCTCAGCACTCCCAGCTGTGCCAGCATGAGCAGGAATACTGTTAAAAACTATGCAAGGCGGAACAAAAAAATGCTAGTTTTCTAAAGCTGTGCAAGTAGAGAAAAATTACGTGAGGCTATTTATTTTTTTGTAGGTATGGCTAAAGCAGGGGGTGACTTTGCAGGGTCACAGAACGGCCCCGGAGTGCATGTGACAGGCGCTGCCCCCCGGCCGAGCCCCACGGCCGCCGCTGCAGCGCCGGGCCATTGTTCGGAGCTCCGCTGCTTTCAGTGCTCGCATCATTCCCAGTAAACGGAGACAAGCTCCTGACACGGCAGCGGTGCAAGCAGCTGCCGCTCTGCGTGAGGGTGAGCAGCTCCATTTTGTGCACACCAGAACGAGCAGGGGGACACCGACAGCTCAGGCGGGCACTCGGGAGCCGGGCAGAAATTGCACCAAAGGTCTCCATCTCGCTGCTTCCCGACCACCCCCCGGGAGAACACCACCTCTGAGCCTTCTCCCGCCCAGCCCCGGGCACATCAGTCATCCAAAGGGCAAACTGCATTATATAAATCACCCGGTTCATTGTCTTTTTAACAGATCACACAATTACTAAACAACACCAGCAGATAAACATGAGATTCTGCAGTCGCGCAGAAAACCCTCAGCACAATTCAACTACTCCGCTACCCTGCCAGAGGGACGCGGCGTTCAACACACATTCCATGGAAAGCTGCAAGGGCAACAACCATTGAGTTCACACAAACGCCGACTCGAGCCGCACGGAGTCGGTCTGCCCGCTCCGCCCTCCGCAGCCCAGCGTCCGCATGCAGCCGCTCACCTGCTGGTCGCACTCGGGGCAGGACTTGGTGGCCATCTTCACTTTCTTGGCCCGACTGGAGGACATGCTCGCTGCTGCCGTGGCTGGGCTGACACGGCCGCGGCCGGAGCGCCCGCCCCTGGAGTTGGAGTGAGTAGCCGGAGGGAGGGAGAGGCCAGAGGAGCCCCGCGCGCCCCCGACGCAGGACAAGCCCCGCCCACCTCCGCGCGCGCGAGCGGCCGGCTCTGCCCTTGCCACCGGATTGGCTGCGTGAGGGCGGCGCTTGGAGCCCCCTGGCGGCCGCGCTGGGAGCGGTGAGGGGAGCGGGAATGAGGGAGCCTGACAGAAATGTCGCTCCGTCAGAAAGCACCAAACACCACTTCTCTGGTGTCTGTCTCAATCCAGAAAAAGACAAGTCTGCAGCAGAGGGCGTGTTTGTCGCCTGCCGCACTGGAGGGAGCCTGCTGGTCCAAGAGCGGCGTGTCTGGCCATGCCTTTTAGCGGGGTTCTGCTCACAAACGGGATGTTTTGAGTACGATGCCCTCAGACAGCAGTGTGCTACTGCCAGGCCAACACCGGGACCAGGACCAGAGCAACAGGAACAGCCGTTCAGCCGGGCCTGAATTTCTGACACATAATTGCATTTATGTCCTAGCAAGTATCCTCCAGATTACCATGCCAGCCCTCTCCGTCCTTACTACCAATACAGGATGATGAATGAAGAATCAAACGTCATTTGCAGTGTCCTCTCCTGTGCCAGGACAACCTGCTGATTTTTTTTTCTTCCTCTTCCGTGAGTGTGCCCTGAGCCTGGCTCCCACACGGGGCACGAGAAGGTCCCGTTCTCTCATAGTGGGCACTGTGGGCTCCCCATGTGTGTGCTGGCTTCTGGCTGTGTACACAGCTACTACACTGCCTCATTTGTCCTTTTCCTTTCCTCCTCAGTTTTTATGTTATGACTCAGAGGGTGGATTTGTTTCCCTGTTCTCCGTGCATATTTTTTTCCAGCCTATACCAGTCCATTGGCGCAGGTGTTTCTCCAGAGATACACAAAGACAAGACAGGTTTATTTTCCATATAAACTGTGACTGCTGCCAGAAAGCAAATATGTTCTATGTAGGCAAACACCCAGATTTCATTCCTGAATCCAGAACAAATCCATGCAACCAGGGCCTTGAGGTTGCATTTGGATTTTTAATTTTTTTTTCCTTAATTGATAAGGTCCAGACATAGCAAAACATAGAAAGGTATTTGAGGAGAATTTATAACAGCAGGGGGCCCTGCTGAGTATAGTAAGAGTATCTAGTAAATAAATTAATGAATATACAAGCAAGCTCACAGAGATCTATGATAATACCCTAATTTTCTTAATAGAGCAAATAAAGTAGTCAGCAGTTCAACTACTCCTTAAAAAAAAAAAGTTTTCCTTACTGAATGCAATCAAGGTTATTCCTAGCTAGAAAACTGATTTACCATACATGTATTTTTCATGTTATTCTATGTTTTAAGACATTACTTTTGAATTCTGAAAGTCCAAAACTATTTCTTTTACATAATTTCAGAGGTTTAATCCAGCACTGAGATAAAAACAACAAATACCATTTTAAGGGTACAGATACTTTCTCTCTTAACAGAGTCAAGGCACTTTGCAAGACCAAGCCCCACTTAAAATGTCTTTTACACCAATTTAGAATAGAAAATAAGAAAATTTTGCAAAGTTTCTATCTTATGAAAAGCCGCATGTGACTTTGTAAGTGCCTGATGTATTCTTTTCTTTGCTGCTGTCGCCAGAGACCAGCAGAGCTGAATGGCCTGAGATGTTTCCACTGCCTGGCACATCAACTGCCTGCACATGGCAGTATTTTGGTGAGCAACTATAGCCTTGCAAGGAAACAAAAATTCCAAAGTAGGAACAATCCACACATCTAATCCACCTTAGAGTGGGAGAGAGAAGCACTCCTGAGTTGTATTTCTGCTCAGCACTCCAGGCAATTTGGAAGCATCCTACTCTCCTGCAGCGTCCCCTGGGAGAGCTGACAGCCTTGGGCTCTGTCAGCCCCAATGTGCTGACAAAACACAGCAAACTGAGAAATTAAATTCCTAAAGTGCTGTGCAACCTTGTGTCAAAAAGGTTATAAAACACATCCTGGTTAAGTAACAACTTCCTAATTAGCCAGCTATAGTCAGCAGGGGTATTATTCTTTCCACGGCCAAAGTACTATCGAGAGAATTCTTAAGTTATACCTAAAGTACAAGATTAGGATGCATGAGAGCAAAATTACAAATAATAGGAAGTGCTAGATTATAATATTTGCAATGTTACCATGAAGGAATTGAAGTTGTAATGGGACAGTATTCAACTGGCAAGAAGAATACATTGTATTAAAAAAATACACTGCTTATACAGACAAGCTTCAATCCTATTTTATTATTCTGATTTTGGTAATTTTGATAATAACAATAGTTTATAGTACTTAACAATGTTACTGTGCTTCTTACCAGTAGATTTCAGAGCAGCTGCAATCTGAGCCCCGTGAGTCCTTTCATAGGCAATCAAAGTCATGCCTAACAAGTCTTTTCAGATCCCATTACTTTGAATTTGGGCAAGACCAACATTTAAGTGGCACAAATGTTGGCTTTGTTCTCCAAGTACAGCTAAATATTGAGTGTTTCTCAATTGCAAAACATTTTTAAATTCACAATGTTGTTAAGCATTGATGCCTCTTGGTTTCAGGAAGCCCGGGCTTAGGCTGGCTCCTGCCTCTGGCTCAGCTGAGCACATTAATATAGTTTCACCAAATGCAGCTTACATTATTTTCATAGAGCATCTTTTCAATTAGTTCTTATGAAGAGAATTCAATAGATTAATTTACACATTCCATCTGAGTTTGGTTTTTGGGTGGAAGGTTGGGCTTTTTTTTTTCTCTTTATCATGAGATGAGTTGTTAAACATTAAGGTATGAAGTCACTTAACTGGCACTTTTGCAGTGGACTGCATTGAACTTTGCACCAAATCTTAAAGTTTTATGTGCAGTTTGAAGAACAGTAGAAATAGTCATTTCTCTAAAGATACTCCTTATATTCTGAACTACTACCATGAGCAGTAGTCCACAGTAAAAAAACCACATCCTCCTTACTTGTACAACACAGAATACAGAAAACCTTGCTCTTTTTGTCTGAATAAACCTGGTTTTCATAATGCAGTTTCCATTTATTTAGTGTGCTCAAAGATTCCCAAATATCATTAAAAACACTTTGGCATTTTAAGCTATTGAGAGCAGTTTTCTATCCAGCGTCTTTGTTTCAATGGAACAGCAGCAGTAGCAGAATGAATGCTCAGTTACCACATGTCATTATTGTAATCATGGGGTTTAAACCATGCAACTATTCATGGCAAAGCAGCTTGTTGAAGGTCTGTCAGACTGGAACATGTGACAGCAGCTGTTATTCTGTTTATCACCCTCATTTCTCCAAGTCTCCATCTACCTTTCCATGTATTTATACATTTGCTGCCGTTCTGTATCTCTAACTTGGCACCATCAACATGAAATTCATTATTTTAGCTTCTTATAACTGCAAGAAAAGCAGCTTGTGTCTTTATGACTAGAGGTAGAACACAACATGGAACCTTGGTAAGCAGCACGGTCAAAAAGAACCTTGGTAAGCAGCACGGTCAAAAAGAACCTTGGTAAGCAGCACGGTCCACCTTCAAAGTCTGGTTTGTCTGAAACTTGTGTTCATATGATCTGCACATTCATTTAGGAACAACTTTGCCTCAACATGGCAAGTTCATCCTACACTATTTACTTTCAGGAAAGCATCTGTATTAATATAACTTTTGGAGATACATTTACCACCTGTAAAGACAGAGATACTTTTCTCTAACACCATACTGCATTTACCATGGAAAGGCTTTGTTTCATCCCATTTATTTCCTGTGTGCATTTTTAAGAAATTACCCAAATTACTGAATTCCAGTTTTGCAAATATTTATTCCAATGTTCTACGAGAACCATTTTGGCTTGTGCCAAGTGCATTTGCAGGTGTGGAGCCTCAGTCCAAGGCTGCCTGTGTTACACAGTAACCAGCACCCTTATAGAATTTGCAAGCAAGGTCTGAGGGTTGCTTGGATTGTCACCAGTGCAGGGCCAGAGCTGTCAGGGGATCTGTGCCTTTCCTTTGGGGGATCAGGCAGACTGGGGGCAGTGCTGGCTGGACACTTTCTGCTACGCCAGCTCTTTCTGGGGGGCGGATTGGGGGTGGAACAGCAGCGTGTGGACCAAGAGCAAAGGTTAACTTGTGTTCTTCCCCCAGCAAAATTAATGTTTCCAAATTACAAACCAAACTCTGATCCTTAATAGTCTGAGCAGCATTTCAGCCCTGATTTCTAAGGAACCATGAAATACACTTAAATCAAGATACCTGGGAAGTCTACTTGTATCCACTGAATGTAAATATCAGAATTTAAAATAATTTGAACATTTCAGATCATCTGACAAAAGCTTACTATAAAATCCAATCTGGTTTTGTGGTAAATCCAACCTTGACATGTCTTACCACAGCTTGAAATATTTTCTTCTGAACTACTTTTTATCAAACCTAGAAAAAAGGGACATGACACCATTAATTATCGAGCTGCCAGATTCAGAGAGCACTCAGTTTTCCAGATATACAACTGATGACAACTTTAAAAGTAAAGTGTCAAAACATACAGGCTCCAAAACCTGACATTTCAAAAGTTAAAAAGGCTTATGGGAAAAAAAATCAGATGCAGTATCCTGGAACAGCTGCTGCGGCTTCGAGTAAACAAAAATGGACTTCTTGGAACGTGAATTTCTAACAGAGCACTCTATTGGGTCATTCTGTGGGCAGAATTTTGGAGGGAAGACAAGCAGGGCCAGAAACACTCAACGTGGCCTTCGCAAACTGAACAGTAAACAAGAAAAAGCTCTTAGTAAAATCAGTACAATGACTGGAAACAAAAAACAAATGAGTTTTCTGCACCACCTCAAGAATGTTCCTTCAGCACAAAAAAATTTCCATCTCTGTTATTTTGTTAACTATGAATTGACTAAAATCTTCAAGCAGCAATTATTTTTAAATTAACACAAAGCAAGTGCTGAAAAATATTGCACTTAAAATAGAATGAGACTGGAGCAAATT